AGAAGCATGCTTTTTCGTGCGCCCCGAAGGTACCTCGAACTGGCTTCTGCTTAGGCGCGATCTCGCTTTCGCTTTGTGAGCATGTGACATGCCAGGTGCGGCGTCACAGATAGACGAACGGGTTCGGTAAACCACACACCGGATACTTACTTCTGCGTAGGGATTGCCGATCTGAGGCCTCAAAGTAAGGAGCGGACCTTGCGCGCAGTAAGCTTCGTGGCTTGTTGTTTGTCGGTGTCACCGTTCCGTCTTACAACAGACTGTCGGGTCTGTCGATTGACATCCACCTTGCGGGTACCAGTCTGTGCTGTGCTGTTGGAACCTGATGCCTGGAATCTCTTCGTTCCTTTAGCTGAGCACGTCCATCTCGACTTGATCGACCCTCCTTCCAGGCAGACATCTCAAAAGCATGTCTCTATGCCGATGCGGTTATCCGTGGCACTGCACATCGACAGTACTTTGGGCGTTCATCGGGCCAGACCAACAAAGGCGCGCTCCAAGTCATGAACCCAAAACCTTCCATCACCAGTGCGCTTTCGTTCGTGGACACCGGAAATACATCTCCAAGTCACCATTACCCAATATCTCCGTACTGGCGAGCATCTCTGCATATTTCCTTCTCCTCCTAGGGTGATGCCAAACTTTGTCAGTCGCACGAAGAACATGCAATGGCGCTGCATGGTTGCACGATAGCCACCCAAGTCTGCCTCATCAGCCACTTGCGAGAAACCTTCCACAACATGATCAGATCGTTGCTCAATGCTAGCACGATATCCCCACAAGTGGTACAGCATTGCGCCGCTTCTCGACATGTGTTCGCCCAGTCCAATGCTTCGGAACGCCCCTTACTGTAACGAGCCCCCTTGGGCAACGCAAGTAACACAGCGATGGTCCTCATCTAGCCACCTGCAGACATCCGCCATCTACGAGCGTATCACTGCGTTTGAGTTTGCTGCGTCCTCCATACGAACAATTGGACATGCCTCTATACCCGCGTTTCCGCCAAAGACACAAGCGGCTTCCCGTACACGTACGACCGGCCCGAGAAAAGGTGTTCACAGTCACAAATTCCTCACGGCAAGCTACAACAGCACACTCACACCCGGCCGTGTACACAAGAAGGACAGGCGTAAGACTGACAGCGGGTAGGCGTTCCGAAGGGCGCATATGCAACTAGGCGGTCTCCGACAGTCACCCAGAGCGTTTCGCTGCTCAGCCTCTCCGTGCGCTGTACCAGTTACAACGGCGTGACAGCTGAGCCTCTGTCTATGCTTTTCCCAAACTGGCGTTGTACTAACAAAGGCGAACGTTCGCTATCGACCATGGTTGCCTTTTGCACACCCCCAATTAGCAAGGTTTGCCTTTAGTGTGCCATATCGCCGGCATCCCACGCGAAGCTGCATGATCAGCCCATGAGCACAGGTCATTGGGCATACGAGAAGAGCGTCCGGGACAGCCCACTGGCTGGTAAGTGCCCAGCGCTTTAGACGACGACTTGTCTTCTTTTCCTTCCACGGTTCTCTTCACGCGTCATAGGCTACGATGTTCTTTCCCTTTCCAAACCTTGCTGCGAACATGCATGAACCAGGTAGCGCGATATCCAGACTTCGGAACGCTATTATCGTCGACTTCGCCTCCTAGGCAGAACATATCTAGAACGCACGTAGGCGATGCCCGACGCTGGGATGGCCGCATGGCATGGCATAGGGAGCTAGCTACCGGGCCCGCGAGCTCGTACGAAGGAAAACGAGGATGCAGCGAGGAAACATGGATCTGCGGTGGGCTAGCGAGGCGGATTCATGGCTGTGGAAGCTCGCAGGCATCTACCCGAGTATATTCTACGGTCGGCTTCCTGCGTCTGTAGCGGAGGAAGGAGAGGAAGAAGAAAGGTTTGGGCGGAGATCGCGTCTTGGGCAGCAATAGTCTGAAGGTTTGTCGGTAAGGTATGACTCTTATCATTTTGCTGTACGGGCCAGGACCCGGGAGAGCGAGCTCAGCCTCGTCATCGTATCGTGAGTCCGTGAGTCCGAACACACCGACAAGACCTACTCCAACATTCCGTCATCGTGCCCACACCCACGCTTCCCAGCACGGCCACGCTCCGCAAAAGCAACCCAATCGCCTGAAGCCCAAAGCTCAAGCCCTTCGAAGCTCAGTTACCTTACACCCATGCATTCTCTTCGCCCCACAAGCACCAGGCACCCACCGGCCATGCAGCTCACGGTGTAAGTACCCGGCTCAGACCAGGCTTTTACTGTCCAGTCTTTCGTCACACGACGCGAGGGATGCGATGGGGGTGTTTGCAGTGCTTGCGTCGGAGAATTTATGTTGTGTTAGGAGGGGAGGCTGGAATTATTGGCGGAGAGGTAGCTTGGGAGAAGGGGGTTGCTGTTGTGTTACGGTGGTGTGTGGGGTTGGGATGTGATCTACCTAAGCGCTTCGTAGTACACAGCATATCATTGAAACGTGTTTCACTCATTCGTACGGTTGATTAACGAGAGAAAACTAGGAAGGGAGAATTGTTAGTAGACCTCGAGTATTTGTGATGGCACTGGCGAATGCAGAGAATGGTAAGTATGCGGAGATGTATCTTGAACCTTGGGCGCATGTGAGTGATGATAGAGCCTAATACGAATTGAACCGCGTAAGATATATCGAAACTTCGCTCTTGTATGTGTCTGGTTATACTGTAGTGCTGTTCATCTGCGCTGAATGTGCATGAACACGCTCGTTCTTTCCTAAGGATGACCCACTAGGCCCAGGTCGGTATAGCTCTGATGCTCAGACCTCGGGAGAACAATGAGGCTCTCCGCACAAGCTACTCCATTGCCCCCATGCGCACATGATTTTGCGCACCTTTACATTCGTATATCGCCATAGGATATACAGGTATCGGTTGGAGTTTGCTGATCATGTTAGCTCTGGAGTCATGCTATTACTCTTCGAAAGCCAGACACGATGTTCCACAAGCTCGTATCACCGACACCCTGAAACATTCAGGCCAACCACTTTTGCGCCTCAGGTTACCGAGAGCTCAGCCTCCTGCGTTTACACCGCCTCAATGCTGTCAAAACACCACGGGTTCTTAATCTTTGCTACAACACCAAAGTCGCCAGGATGCCGACGTCGAAAGTCGGTCTACACCACATTTTTGTCCTACATTAACCACTCGTTCGGCGGATAAGCGAGTCATCGACATCTATCCTGGACTTCAAAATCCCGGAAGACGCTCTTTACGAAAGCCCATGTCGTCTCAACAGCCTAACGAACATTCGCGCACAGTCTTATCGCAGCGATGGAGCTGCCACCGAAGGATGTGCGCTTCACTCACACTCCACTGAATTATAGAAACAAGGAGATACGCCTCATCAAGATCGAACCAAATTCCGACCCGTCGAGCCCTGTCCAAATCACCATGAAGACTGTCGATTTCAGTGAACACAGTACAGCTCTTACTTGCTATCGTGAAGAGTCGGTTAGACTGGAGGCGCAAGATAGGGCTGAAAGAGGTCTACCATTATCTATGTGCTCGCGCGACTGGGAGAGCAGCAAGGAGGTACACGAGAGGCTGTTTCAAAACATCTTCGACTTCAACGCATTATCGTATACTTGGGGCCCCGAACTCCCAGTGCAAGACATCCTCGTGACAAGCTCCGAACGTCGCGGGTGGCTTCCGATCCGGCAAAACCTCTACGACTTCTTGAAGATAAGAAGAGATAGTGACTCGCCTTGGTTCTGGATTGACCAGATATGTATCAACCAAGGGCAAGACGACGAAAAGTCACACCAGGTCACCCAGATGGCAGATATATACAGCGCGGCTGCGGTCGAGGTCTGGCTTGGTTCTGGATTCGAGGGAAGTGACAAGTTCGTGGACTTGATCGTCCATCACGCTTCTTACCCTTATAACCACTTGTCAACTCTTGGTTTAAACTCGGTCGATTTGGACTGGCGACGCAGTTTCATGCGGCTACCATATTGGTCAAGGCTGTGGGTCCTTCAGGAAATCATACTCGGTCATACGGTGACCATACGCATCGGTTTAAAGACCGTCTTGTGGGACACATGTTATGAAGGTTGGGAGAGGTTGGAAAGAAAAGTGAGATCTCTTCCTGTCACAGAAACAGAAAACGATTTGGAACACATAAGTGATCGAATAGCTCAAATCTACTATGAGAGATTGGGTAGGCTGAAGGACAAAAGCTGGAGGGAAATTGTGCACACAGTTCGGGGCGCAGGATGCTCGGATCCACGGGATCGAGTGTTCGGTTCATTGGGCATGGTCCATCCGTCGCAGCAGTTAATCCCTGACTACTCCAAGCAACCGCAAAGCATACTGCTCGAGCTCCTCACTAAAGAGTTTGAATTCAGAGCTTCTAAAGTAGAACCCCCTCGTTATCTGAGTGGGATCTACTCAGAGGCTCGAGACGCAACTGTCGATACGGTGTTGACGGCAAAATTGTGGCTTCCGGAGCTCGATGATAACAAGAATTCAATTGACTTGAAGTCTGTCCGCCGTCATCTACTCGAGATTCTACCCGTAGATCCACCCATTTTTTACTGCAAATACGCGCGAACTTGGCAGCTCAAGTACCATATATGGAAAGAAATACCAAATAAACGGAACATATGCTCGCGATTTGCGCACGCAGGAGTTCGGGGCTTGGAAGCGCTCTCACTAGATCCTCTAAGACTCTTGGGGTATCCAAAACATCTAAGGAAATTGCGTGAACGGTGTGCTGGTATGTATAGACAGTTTGTTATACACGCTTCACGCATGAGTACTAACGTTTATGAGCTGAATTCAAAGTCTGGGAAGATGAACATCGACTCCATGAGATTGGAGGTCGGATCCACGAGAAACCAGACGCTAGCCTTGGTAATCGGTTGGGTGCTATGTACTTTGAAAAGTCACAAAGTGTGGGTGAATTATCCCATCATCTTTGGGGGTAGTAGAAGCTGATGGTACGCGCCTTGGTATTGATACACTACGCAACCCCCTAGACTTCCGTCTTCTTCCTAATACCCAACGTCTTCGCAAAATCCTTCTTGGCCTTCTTCGCCGGCCTAGACACCGAGAACTCCACGTTCAGCGACTCTTCACATGATTCAGACTCCGGCGAACATCTCTTCGTCCCCCTAAACACAGCCCTCGCAATCTCCGCATCATGCGCATCCTCAACCTCCCTCGATGGCACACGGTTAGCCACACTGCATTCCTTATCAACAACCTCCCTCCGTGCATTCGCCGCTCTAATTTCATCCAACGCATCCGCAACAGCAACCTCAACCCTCGCATCCTCAGTCTTGCGCTCCAGGGTCTCCATAGTCGCTTTCTCGTCGCCTCCTTCAAGTTCCTCAGCTTCAAGACGATTCAAGCGCTGCTCTTCGGTATCTTCAGCGCGCTCATCATCTTTCCACGCCTCAAACCCCCTCGCCGCCCCACTCACAATCCTATAATCCATATTCTTAGGATCAGTCTCGATAACGATTCCCGCGCCGCAGCCAGGACACTTGCAGTGCAGCGTAACTATTTTCACGCCGAGGTAGGTTTCGGGTGAGATGTGTTTGGGGCTGTTGCGGAAGACTTTGCCGCGGGTGGTGTAGTGGCCGCAGGAGAGGCAGCGCATGCTGCGGAAGGGGCAGGCGAAGTTTACGACCGTGCGGGTAGGGGTTAAGGATTTCTTCGTGCGGACGAGTTTTGAGGGGTCAAAGTCGGAGGGGTAGTATTTCTGGAGGGTTTTGCGCTCGGCCATTTTGGGGAGGTGGAGAGGGGGTTGGAGGGTTGAGGGATACGTGGGTGTTTGTGGTGGTGGAAGTTTTGTGAAGGTGGAGCTGGGAGGTATTCGCGGTGTGTTGCGCTGGGGAAGGTTGGGAAGGATCATGGGACGAGAAGGGGACTGGGTCTGCATATGAAGGGTGATGAGTACGTGGGCGCTGATGGTACGTACCATGGGCGAGTGACAAATTTCTGCCCAATGACGAGAACCGAGTTACATCAACTCGACTTGCTGCCAGCGACAGCAGAGTAACGCCCACATACTGTCCACGTTTCGACTGTAATTGATGAAGACAAAGGACGGTGTTCTTCGAGCTATGTGAGCCATTACACACTCTGACGGATACATCACACTCACATTTTCAGTACATCAACATAGAACGTAGCGAATGCCTCCAGGCCTCATCGAAATAATGCATTCTACTGAGAAAACAATAGAGCTACCATGACCTTCGTAGCCTGGAAAGCGCCCTTGGTACGGACAAGAGAAGCAAAGGTTTGGGGTATCTTCTTAAACGCCGCACCACCATCATCTGTCTCAGACCATACTTGCGGAAAGGCAGCCTCGACGCTGACGTCCGACTCCGCTTCGCCTGTCCAATCGAAGCCGATTTGCCAGTTTAGCTTTAGTAGAACGTGTTTGTCTTGCAGGATCAGGGTATCACGACCCAGATTCCTGCTCAAGTCCTTCCGTGTGACAGTCGTCGCGGGCTTGACTCCTTGCGGTGGCCGAGCGTTCTCGGCGTCCTCTGCGGTCCGGCCTACGAGTAGATGCGCAAAGGCAGTCTCGCACTTTTGCCAGTGTTGTGCCCGCTTCTTAGCAATCTCCCAGTACGAGTCCATAGCCCAAGACGCATTACCCAAATCTCTTTCTTGCGCTTTCGACCGGATGAAAGTACCCAGCTCACGCTCAGCCCACGGTGAGATTCGTAGAAGCTGCATTTCGACAATCTCGTTCGCTAAGGCATCGATAGTAATCGAAACCTGGGCTGTGAGTAGCTTTTGTGGACCTGCTATGTCGATGGTATGCTTCTGGTGGACCCGCCGTGATGTTGGAAATATCTTGCCGCTGGGCAGGCTGAGTTGTGTGGAGAAGTTGAGTGATGTGAACATCTGGAGGTATGGTAAGGGATCTGCGAGTTCGACCGGGCGATGTGATGGGACAGGCTTTTCCTCTTGTTTCGGCCGTGGTGGAGGAACGGAGAGGGCGGCGAATGGTAGGAACGAACAGAGCAGACTTGATACTGGTGCTGGCTTCTCCAACTCTGTTTCGGTGCCGCTGATATCCGATATGAACTTCCTGGTATTGTGTCAGTCACAGTTTGGCTATCATGGGAGTCTTTTAGACTTACTTGAGACTGTCGCGCTCTGGAGACCGCAGAGAATCCTCAGGCCCGCAGCGCTGCTCCTTAACGACTTCTTCGATGCATCTTGACACCTGAGACTCCAACTCTTCTACCTCACGTTGTAGACGCGCCTTTTCCTGTTTCCTTCTCTCAATTTCTGAATCTGGAGGCTGCCTCTTCTGCACCACTTCTTGAGTTATCTCTTCGGTCATGTCTTCCACTGGGCCATCTTCTACCGTCCCTGTGAAATCGTCTGATTGCACCGCTGGCGCTCTCGAATTCGGTGGAGGTTGCTTGATGGGATCTCTGACGCGCGGGGGACGCTTGCTTGGTGATGAGAAGATCATCGTTCGCCGCGGCTGCTTCGATGCTGCGCGAATATTCTGTGACGGTGTCCCTGGGAGTTCTGGGAGGTCGCTCTCGCTGGGTAGTTCCACTTCGGTCTCTTCCCTTGCTCTGGAGCCATTGCTGGCTGCTACAGGTCGGTTTGGGTTGCGCTTCGGAGATGCGGAGAGAAGATTCGGGTAGTTACGCGCAAGGCTGGCTTTGGTAGGCGACGCGAAAGACGGTCGTCGCGGAGGTTTCCTTAGAGGACTGGACGCTTGTTCCGTGGGCGAGCTGGTCCTCCTCCGTTTCGCCGGTGGTTCGTTCATGATGTTCGCATATGAAGGTTTCGCAAGAAACGGGATCGGCGCGTATTTGGGGCGCTCTCGTGGTAGTAATATGGCCGGGATTGGGATAGATGTTCTGGTGGGGTATGCGACGATAACAGTGAATGCGACGCGTCGGCGCGTGTTGTTGCCCTGTCGGCGTTCGCTGCAGCTTTTGCCGACGCTCGGAAAGGCGGCGCAAAATGACGTCGAACCGTCAATCGTTACTTTCATTCAGCTGCGAATTGGCAATCGACAACAGTGGCTAACTTCGACATGTCATAACGAAGCGGCTCGTGTGATTACTTCATCTCTTCACGATTTTCTGGTGGCCAATGGAACGCATCGCACACTCCGGGCAACTGGCATTGCGCCAGGAGCTCTGCGCTTCGTGCTTGAAGACATGGCGCAGGTCGCGTGCTTCGACCGAGACAGGGCGGATAGGGCTTCAGAATAGCAATCGGATACAGCGTCGCTTTAAAGGCTATATTGCACCAGAAGGCGAGCAGGCCAGACCCATTACAGGCTTCTATGCAGGTTCGACCTCACCCACGTTGTCTGCGAACCCAGAACTAACAAGAGCTAGACATGATAAAGAAGCCACTCTCAGAAGTACAATCCCTATCCCACACAACGCCCGAGCCGCCAAAGGAGCCACCGAAGACGCAGAAGGAAGAGACGTTTGCAAAAGCCCGTATAATCTTTGGGTCTACCACGGCCTTGGAAGAACGTAAACAGGAAATCATGAAATCGTCCCAGAACGTTGCCGGTGTACTAGTCCCTCCGCGACCCGAAGAACCAGACAACTGCTGCATGTCTGGATGCGTAAACTGTGTATGGGACATGTATCGAGATGAGATGGAAGAGTGGGCCGAGAAGAGCGCTCAAGCAAGGGCGGCGATGCAGGCACAACGGCAGGAAGGAAAGGGGACGAGTAGCATGGTGGCAGGAGACACATCACCGAGTCATGTTGCTACAAGTATGGACGACGATGGCGGTGGAAGTGAGACGAATTGGGACACCGGGTTCGATGATGCAGAGAAAGATAAGTTGTTCGATGATATACCCGTTGGCATTCGGGAGTTTATGAGGACGGAGAAAAAGTTGAAGCAGGCGCAGAAGAAGGCCGAAGCCGCTGCGGCAGCGTGAGCTTCGAATTCGGCAATACCCATGCAGTTATCCTGCCATTCAAATACCCATCCATTACATATCTTGCGATATTCCATCCTATGCCCCAAAATAACACCAATTATGCTGCACCACAATCTTCCATCTCATCTAATCTTCGCCGACATCCACGCCCTTTGCCTGAAGATCTTTCCGCGCCTCCGCTATTTGCTGCATGAGCTCCTTGTGCGCGTCGGGTACGTCGTTGAAGGTGAAGACTCCCCAGCCGAGCTTGAAGAGAAGGTACGCGCCGAAGGAGATGAGGGCCCAGAAGGGTAGCTATGGTCTGTTAGCGGCAGCCCAGTACAATAACAATGGAGGTGGTAAAGGTGGTGGGCCAAGGCTTTGTAGTAAAGGTAAGACTTACGAAAGGCACAATCTCCTCTTGGATCTTCTGAGGCAGCGGGACGACTTGGAGGAACAGTGAGAGGTAGATCTGTCACATGTTAGCATCCAATCTCAACATGTAGAGGTAAGGGGCTGCATACGGAGGTGAGGAGCATGCCAATGCTGATGGTCTGCGTGGCGCGCGTCATGCTGGCGAATTGGTTGTTGTAAACGGGTTAAACGAGGGTCGGTGGTCGGAAGAAATGCGGGTGAGGGCGTGATGCTCGACGTTTGTGGTGGTGAATGTACAGTGCCAGATCGCTCAATTGCCGCCAAGGGATCTGTGTCCAGGGGTCCAACGGAACCGGCCAAAGGCAAGGCCAACCGCGCGGTGGGTCGACGCTGCCGCAGGAACTCACCCCGTTTCTTTCCGCATCTGAAAAAACAAGTGGCTGAACTATTGATTGCACTTTTTCTGGAGTTCTCCTGAAACCAATCCGACTAGTAGCCATCACCTGTACGGCGGCTCCGGACGACTGCGAGTAGCCGTTTCATCCTTGCGCAATCTCTACCGCCACTATGCACTCTTGAGCTTTGCCACGACTTTGAGCGACTGCGTTTCTTCATCTTCACACTTTTGCGATATGCCATTATCCAATGAGGAGCTTGGCGACTATATAGCGTCTTTAGAGCGCCTACTCCAAGGCAACCCTGCAGGCCAGACCGCTGTCCTCACAGGTTACGTGCATAAGCTCGATGCGTTTGCAGCAAGTGGGGACAATGAGGCCATAGAGAAGACCTTGCAGCTGTTTGGGACGGCTGTTGGCGGTCGTAGTATGTTATGCCTCTGTTCAAAGCCAACCCTGCTGACACTGTATAGAAAGATGGCAGGCCCCGTTCCGCGACAGCGGCATCCTTGCTTATGCTCTTCGTGGCTTGTCTACCGTTCGCCATGAAGATCCCGTAGCAAAGCAATACCTGAGAGTCATCGGCAACTCTGTTGCTGATAATGGTACTGTAACCTGAAGAGGCCCTCGTATGACGCAAACAGTCTGACTGGAGTCAAGATACCAACAGAGAGCTCGCCGTGAGAGAGCTCGGAGCCATCGCTGGCTGCCTTCCCTCGCCAGAACTACGCTTGACCACTTTGGCCGTACTATTCAATCTTTGTAATGACTTTGGTGAGCAATGCTACAGGACCCTCCAGACATGCAGCTCATGCAGATAGAACCCGGCAAAGCTGCAGCGGCCGCCCTCAGACTGGATGCCACAATATGCACATTCCTAGTACTGGACAGGATACCGGAGGCAGCGCTTGATTACGCCACAGACCTGCTGAGCTGGACCACGAGCAACTTGAGCGACGCCCAGTTCAAAGACGAGGTTTCGCTGGAGACATTCAAGAGTCTGCTGAACGTAGCGCTGCAATACGATGAAGATCACCACCTCGAATACGTGGCCATCCTGGTACATTACCCTCAAGACCCAGAGTTCCAGCAAAGAATAGCAACACCTAAACTTCTCGACGACCTTGTCACCCTGATGCTGGAGTTTGAGGCCCGATTGGAGCCAGAGGACATCGAAGCCGTCTTCCAGGAACTCGCGACTAGCAAAAACGCGGATACCACCACATCAGACGAGGCGCAGGTTCTTCTAATGGCTCAACTCATTGGGCTGCTATCTGCCGCTTCAGCAACAGATGTTTTTGCACGAAGCTTCAACGTCAGAAGTCCTGTTATCGAGAGGCTGGAAGCAAAGCTCCGCGCACCTTGGGAGAGCGCATACCCATCTACGATATGTGCTTGTGTCATGGTCGGAAATTTGGCCATGTCTGATGAGGTTTGCATAGACATGGTCAAGATCATGGAACTCCACGTTCGATTGATTGTGATTCTAAAGAAGAGCACTAAGCCTGCCCTTCTTTATGCTGCAGCTGGTTTCATGCGGCATCTTACGTTTCCAGAGGCTAACAGGGCTTTGCTTGCAGATGCCGGACTCATGGAAGCGTGTTGTCGCATGCTCGTACTGGACGATCCTTCAGTCCGTGGCGAGGCAGCGGCTATGCTATGCAAGCTCGTCACCGGCAACTTCTACAACATCGAAAAGGTCATGTACGAGACCGTCGGCCCTGACACAGAAGCCATCGACCCAGACATCTCAGCTGATACTGTCATTTTCTCGCACATTGTCGAGCAAGCCCTCGCTCCTTCCGCACCATTACCAAGCACTACCATGAAGAACCCAATGATTGAGCTCGGCCGCACCATCGTCGCCATGCTGCGATATCTCGGGCGACCAAACGCCGAAAAAGACGTTGAAGCAGTGCAAATACAGATCTTACAAGTACCCCAGATAGCCAAGCCGATCGCCCAACTTGTACGGCAGCGTTTCTACCCCGAAGCCCGATCCGAAGGACTACTCGGCCTAGGCCTCCTCGCCCAAACACTTGAGGGCGCTGCAGCCATCGCCGAAGAAATTAAAGAGGACAGCGGCCTCCTCGAAACAATCAAAGAGCACGCCAACGCAACAGAAGCAGGTCTCGCGCAGCAGTCCCCATCAACAGCTAGCCGAGACCACCAGAACGCGATTGTGCTGCTCCAGGCGCTGCAGAACAATGCGGTAAGAGAACTCCAAGAAGCTGTCGGGGAAGTACTAAGGACTTCCAGACTGACCAAATGGACGCAATACTCTCGCATTAGACAGTCTCTGTCTAAGCACCAAGGGCGTCGCTCTTCTGGCGACGTCAGCACACTGGGTAGCCCTGGAGGCGCCTCACCTGGGAGAGTCAGAGAGTTGGCTCGCAGGGCTACTACGGATGCGCCTGGCATGTCGCCGGGGAGGGCGAGGGGGTCTACGCTTGCTAGTGAGACTAACTCTGATGAGCGGCCACGGACGCCTGTGAGGGTCAGGGAGGTTATTGGCGAGATTGAAGAGGTGTCTCCGAAGACAATGATCAAGGAGTCGCCGGCGAGGGAACGGTTGAAGGGTAAAGGCATGAAGCGGACCAATACGGCGCCGCAATGATTTCAATGATGGTTATGTCTTATGTTTTTAGTATCTACTCTACTTCTTCTTAATAATGCACTCTCCACTTATGACAACTACAACTGGTACTGCTGTTGATGTGATGTGATGGGATCGAATTGTTGCGGTCGCCACTTCATCTAAACCACATGTTCCGAGTAAGACTCTCATCTAACACCACCTCACGCCACTTACGAACCACCATACATATCAATCAGATAACCCTCAAACGATCTCCAACAAATGGAAGACAAGCGAAAAGCAGTGAATAATCAGCATGGTGGCGCCTGCGAGTCCTGAGCCTCACTCCGCACCATCAGCGTAATCAAGAGCGCTCTGATTGGCCAGACGAGCCACTCACGTGGATTCACGCGCTAGCAATCCAGGGTCCATGACATAGTACGTAGGTGAGTAGTCGGGTATAAAGAAGGGCTGTCTGTCGACGTATTGAAGGTATCTACAAGCTCAAAATCTACCAATCTACACACTACTTCTCAATCTTACCTTCAATCTCGCAAACCAACACCAACAACTACATACCCAAACCCCACCAACCAACTACAACAACATCCAAGATGGTCTGCTGCGGACGTAACAACGGCACCTGCGTGTGCGCTCAAGAGGCAAAGTGCTCGTGTGGAAAGCAGCCTGCTCTTCAATGCAGTATGTCGCTCCCTTCTTTCCTTCACCTCATGCCCTCTCTCCCCAGTCCGTATACCCAATATCCACCACCTACCACCTACCGCCCACCACCTTGTACCTCTTTCATGTATACTGACGTATCAACAGCCTGCGACAAAGCCGCCACCGAGAACAAGCTCCCCACCGATTCTTCAGCATGCGCTTGCGGAAAGCGGACAGAGGATGCGTGCAACTGTGGTCGCGCTGAGAACAACGGATCGAGCAGCCTCGAGACCGACTTCACTACTAGCAAGTAGAGAGAAGGATATGGCATGAGAGTCTGAGGCGTACGGGGGTTCGCGGTGGTGTGTAGCATGAGAGGGTGTTTTTGGCGTTTACATGGGACGGTCGAAGGATCGAGGGTATACCTGATATCAGTAAATGATGATTTGAAAGTTCAAACTTATCCTATCGTGTCTTGTGTTCGTGATCGGCGCGTTGACGCGTCTTACTATAAATGCGCGTGTTCCTCTCGACTCATGTCCTTGCCCTGGGTATGGACCGTACAACGACTCCAAACAGCCATCGTCAAGGCGGTCGTGTTTCTGAGATGCATGTTTTGTATAGCGGACGTGACTGCTGTCTCCTTAGTCTCTATGTTCCTCATCGTGTTGCGGGTGGCATCTCATCGATAGCTTGCGGAGCTCGGGGGAGAGCGGCGGCACGGTCGGAGGTGTGTATACAGTGGACTCCAAGGCTATCGCGGCTTTGCTGAAAGGTGCCCTGTTGCGTACTGTCCAAAATTGAATGCATGGACCTGCACTTGCCGTAAGGGTCAAAATCGCGATGTCTTGCTCCTACTTTGACTCGCACGGGCAGGAGCTACACGCTAGACCCTGTTTGCTTGGCATCCATGTGTAGAACATCCACTTATTCCCCCCGTCAGTCGTGCATGCAGAGAAACAACTAGAGAGCTTGCCGGGGTGTTGTGCGTCTTCCTTGCTCGTTCCAATTCCATGTCCTGCTCTCGATTGCGCCATAAGCCTGCAGCCAGCGTCTAGAAAGCGCTGACAGGCGCCCCTTTCGCGAACTATCGACCTCCGCTCCGCAGCGCGCACGCCGGCATAAACCCTGCCTCGAGGCCCGTACCGCACCATTCCATAGCGCACCACCACTACCGCCGCCGCATTGTCGGGCTACTTACCAGGTGGGAACCGCCCACCCACCACGTCGTCTACTACCACCAGCATGGCGGCCTCGGTCACTTCCAAGATGGCAGCGAGGGCTGGTGGAGGCCTCTTCAGCCGGGAGCAGTCGGGCAACGTCCCCACGATGCGAGGTACATGACGGCATGCCCACAGACAACGGACCGAAGCTCACACGCGGACAGGACTGGTCTCATTCATCGCTGATCTGAGGAATGCTCGCGCGAGAGAACTGGAAGAGAAGCGTATCAACAAGGAATTGGCCAACATACGGTGGGTACACGCTGCCGAGTTTAAGCATGTCCAGAAGGCTAACAGTATTGCAGGCAAAAGTTCAGAGGTACTTCTCCTTGGATACACCTTCCACATGACCTGCTCTGACAGAACTCCCCCCAGATGCCGGCCTGAATGGCTACCAGAAGAAGAAATACGTCTGCAAGGTACACACGCCACTCACCGACTCTCCCGCCCTATTGCTGACTCCCGCAGCTCCTCTACATATACATCCTCGGATGGAACGTCGATTTCGGACATCTCGAAGCGGTCAACCTCATCTCCGCGACCAAATACTCGGAAAAGCAGATCGGATACCTCGCCGTTACCCTATTCCTACACGAGGAGCACGAACTGCTACACCTGGTCGTTAACAGCATCAGGAAGGACCTGCTGGACCACAATGAGCTCAACAACTGTCTGGCGCTGCATGCGATTGCGAACGTTGGTGGAAAGGAGCTGGGAGAGGCACTAAGCGCCGAGGTTCACAGGCTTCTGATATCACCGTGAGTGGCATGAGATGGGTTTGGTGGCCAAGCTGACATCGGATAGGGCTTCCAAGGCATTTGTGAAGAAGAAGGCTGCCCTTACCCTCCTGCGACTATACCGGAAACACCCTGCGATCGTACAGCACGAATGGGCGGAACGGATAATATCCCTCATGGACGACCCCGACATGGGCGTGGCGCTCTCGGTCACCTCTCTGGTTACGGCACTCGTTCAGGACAACACTGAGCAGTACAAGGGAAGTTATATCAAGGCAGCGAATAGGCTGAAGCGGATAGTAGTGGACAACGAGTGTGCCGAAGGCTACTTCTACTACAAGGTACCATGTCCATGGATACTGGTCAAGCTGCTCAAGTTGCTGCAGTACTACCCACCTCCAGGTACGTATCCTCTCCGACTACTGAAGACTCGCACTAACAGAAACAGAGGACTCACATATCCGGAAATTGATTCGCGAAGCGCTCCAAAAGATCATGGACTCAGCCCTCGAAATGCCCAAGAACGTACAGCAGAACAACGCGCAGAACGCCGTCCTCTTCGAAGCGATCAACCTCGTAATACACCTCGACACAGAGCAAGACCTGATGGTTCAAATATCACAACGGCTGGGCAAGTTCATCGCGTCTCGGGAAACCAACGTGCGGTATCTAGGGCTGGAGGCCATGACGCATCTGGCTGCTCGCTCGGAGAACCTCGACCCCATCAAGAAGCACCAAGCAATCATCATTGGATCGTTAAGAGACAGGGATATCAGTGTACGAAGACAGGGTCTGGACCTACTATACAGCATGTGTGATCCGACGAATGCGCAAGCGATCGTGAACGAACTCCTCCGATACCTACAATCTGCCGACTACGCGATACGGGAAGAGATGGTACTCAAGATTGCGATTCTTACCGAGAAGTACGCCACAGACGTTCAGTGGTATGTGGACATATCGCTGCGGCTGATCGCTATGGCTGGAGACCACGTTAGCGACGAAGTCTGGCAACGAGTTATCCAGATCACGACGAACAACGAAGAGCTACAAGTGTACGCCGCGCAAACGATCCTGCAGTACATCAAATCGGACTGCCACGAGACGCTTGTAAAGATTGGTGGATACCTGCTCGGAGAATTTGGCCACTTGATTGCGGATAGCAAAGGATGCAGCCCAATCGAGCAGTTCATGGCGTTGAGCGCAAAGATGCGAGGCTGCTCGTCAACCACACGGGCGATACTTCTATCGTGTTACGTCAAGTACGTGAACTTGTTCCCCGAGATCAAACCTCAGCTTCTTCAAGCCTTCCGCGCCTACAGCCACTCGCTCGACTCCGAACTCCAGCAAAGAGCATGCGAATACCTCACACTCGCCACCATGCCGACGGACGACCTACTGCGCACCGTATGCGACGAGATGCCTCCTTACCCAGAACGGACGTCAGCGCTGCTCTCGCGGTTACACCAGAAGCACGCCACTACTAGCGACAAGCGAACGTGGTTGGTTGGTGGCAAGGATGCAAATGCGGACCTCAAAGAATTTGGTCTTGCAAGGCAGAATACGTCTGCGGGTGTCAAGAGAAGCTTCACCGAACCCGTACCAAAGGATGCCAAGACTGGCGTAGCAAATGGCGCCAACGGTGTCGCAGCGATATCAAGTGATTTGGAGGGTCTGGATCTCAACATGGATCTGAGCAAGGCTTCCAAAGCACCAAATCTCGCAAGCGCAGCTCATCTCAGTCCTGATTGGGAGGTTGGCTACACTCGTCTCCTATTACGGTCGGAAGGCGTGCTCTACGAAGACCAGCAAATACAGATTGGTCTGCGAACAGAGTACCGCGGGCAGTTGGGCGCTCTCATCTTCTACTTCACAAACAAGTCACAGTTCTCCATGGGATCTTTCACCACGACACTCGACAACCGGTCTTCGGAAACACTGAAGACGGACATCAAGGGCTTACCCGACACCTCCATCGCGCCCGAAGGCCAAACACAACAGACCATCATGTTCGAATGCAAGAACGTCTTTATCGACCCTCCCACAATCCGTATATCCTACCTCGCCGGGGCCTTACAGGGTCTAACCCTCCAGCTCCCGGTCCTTCTACACAAGTACATGGAAGGCGCCGAGCTCAGCGCAGAAGACTTCTTCAAGCGTTGGAAGCAAATCGGCGGTGCCCCACGTGAACATCAAAGCATCTTTGGCCTGATCAACAAGAACAGAACGATGGACTCTGATTTCGTGCAAAAGGTGGTCAAGGGCTTCAAGTGGGGTATTGTGACTGGTGTGGATCCTAATGGCAAGAATATTGTCGGTGCGACGGTGTTGCACTCGAGTGAGGGCAAGTTTGGATGCTTGTTGAGGCTGGAGCCGAACTTTGAGACGCAGGTATGTTGATGTGTGTTGAAATGGGAGAAGAGAAAGCTAACAAATGATAGATGTACCGGATTACGATTCGTGCGACTGATGAGTCGGTTCCGCCTGTTCTCGTCAAGGCTATGCAAGATCGCCTCTCGCAGGGTATCGAGGGAATGGCTTAAGTCAAGAGACTTATACCTTTCCACCTCTGCTACCAACGCCACCATCACCACCAATATCCTTACATCATCACCTCCCTGATGTGTACACACGTGGAACCTTTTGTTCATATACTAATGTTTTTGTCTGGGAAACTTTGGACTGTTGCGAGAGAGGAAGAGCGAAAGAAGTATGTTTGATGGCTGGGTTTGGGCTGCATATGTAGCGTTCATTCTGAAGGACAAGGAGGAAATCATTGAGAAATGGCGCATACCCTTGTTTCTGGCTCATGTAGCATGATTACATATATATTGGAGCGTTTTTTTGTTTCGTGGTAACTGAGGTTTGGTGTGGAGTGATGATGATAATATGTGATGTCGTTTGCAGAACAGCGCTCAGTTAAATGTGTCGCTTCATCTAGGGAGAAGGTATGAAGATATCGGGGTCGTAATAGCACATGCATCATTCGCTCGTTCATGACCTTCAGCCCTTGTGCTGCGCAACTCGCAAAGGGCGCAGCTGCCGTTGATCCATGGTCACCCGACCATCGATACTCCCCTCCAATATCCTGCTGCCTTTACTCAGTCCTGTCGAAGAACGTTCCCAACATATACGACTTACAGTCTCCATTCGAAAAGTTATTCAACCGTAGCCTGAAGCAACATGGCTAGCGATTGGGTACAGAATCAAGAAGAGGGTTGGTTAGGCCGCCTCCTCGAGGGGGATTCTAGGGCTATTGCAAAGGATTCCACATTGTGGCAGCTCTACCGCATATTTGAGGACACAATGACTCGCAAAGCCCCGGCCAAGGACTCGGCGTCCAAAACAGCTTCTCTCGTCTCCTCTGAACCGAAAGCCTGGTATGACGTCATCGGAATATATCTCACCTCTGCAGAAAAGATCGCGGACGAAGATGCTCTGAAAGCACTGGTGGACTACATTGTGGAACTGGCAAGTTTGCCCAACGCTATCAACGAGAGTCATGAAACGGTCGTCATCGATCACATAGGCCACGCCGGGGCGTCGGTGCCTATTGAGCCAGGAGAACCTCTCGTGATGGGGTATGGAGGGAAGAGACTGTGGAGGGACTTGCCAGACTTGAGTATGGAAATAACAGAGCGCTTTCAAGGTAATAAATGCCCACTGTGTGCGGTAGTTGCTTTGCTCGTTGGCTTACTCGTCAACACAGGGCCTGAGCAGTACCTTTCAGATACGCCATCACCAGCGGACCTTGAAACTGCAAAGACACTGTGGAAGTACTTCAACACTTTCCTCGCCCTCCTAGCCACAAGCGCTAGCGCGCAGACAAATCCAAGTCTTGCAAATGGGATTCGCATGGCCCGCATGACCTTGGTGACAGCCCTTGAACATTCGCCAAACACACGCAGGGGCAAGAAGACTGATCTGCACATACCCGCTGCTGAGGCATGGTTCCGGATTGCGGGAGATGAGCTTGAAAAGCTTTGTGAAGCTGGGACGGAGACGTTGCCCCCGGGTGATCTTTGGGCCAGTCAGGGGGGCGGGGATGTTTGTGACAGTGCTAGATTGGAGTTTTGGAAGAGGAGAATGTCTGAGTTGGGGGCCAAGTATGGGGAAGACGTCGCAAAATAATGACAATGAACAATGTCAAAGCTCTAGGAGACGGAGGCAGCGTGGCGAATACATCACTGTAGTATGGAAGCTTTGATGCTCACATATCGAAGCGCGGCGGAGACAATGCACAGGCGGGCCATAGACAACGCCATCAAAGCTAATCAATATGACTACGTTTCATCATTACGTAGCCCCGGTAACTCGAATACAACCTGTATAGTACAAACAATACCTAAGCGGCAGGATCTAAAAATCCCTCCAGTGTCTCATAGTTCAACGGCCTGAACAACTCGTTGCTCAAATCCGCACCGCTACTTCCCAACAAGCCTTCAAAGTTCTCAAACGCAGCGTCGAAATTCAGCCAGTCCGGTGACTGCTCAGCGAATCCGAAGCCGGCGGGAGGTCCCGTCATAGGCGCACGATCTGCACGTTCGCTACTTGTGGGGTGTTGACCGGGTGTAGGAGCGCTTATCGGGTTGAGAAGACTGTTCATGGGCGAATTGGCGTGAGGATGATTTTGGTGTTGCTGGAGCCGAGGATCGATAGGTGTCTCCCCCATGTTCTGCGGCCATGGCTGCGACTGGTTTTGTGGTGGCATTTGGTTGTTATGTGCGTTTTGCGGTGCTGGCGGCTCCGTCTTCGGCTCGGTCGGTCGGGGTTCGGCTGGAACCGGTACCGGTGTGTTGACAGCGTTGGTGTTGCGCCCTGCTGCATTGCTAAGTACAGCTCGTCCGAGATCAGCTGTCGTGCCTGCAGACCACCACGAGTTTCGTAAACGATCGAGGAGGCGGACGCATTGCTTCAATTCTTCGGTAGCGCGGTTAACGTGCACCTTCAGGCGCCTAGAACGGAAGTGGCGATACACTACGCTGAGGGCTACACCGAGCGCGTAGGGTACGATCGGAAGCGGTGGGAGGAGCTCGGGAGATTCAGCGTTGAGAAGATGGATCACTCGTGTTGCGGAGAGACTCTGTCGGACGTAAGAGGGTGTTGACTTGACCGGCGCGTTAATGGAGAGGGATTTGTGGGAAGCCATGCACATGGTGTGATGGAAAAGCGATAGGAGACCTGAAAAGGTTAGCAAAGATAAAATTCCAGGATTTGAAGCCATTTACTCATGATAGGGCCATCGAGCTTGTCTTCACCATCTCCAACCATCTCTTCAAATCCTAAGAAGTCATCACCTTCCCAGCCTGTCTCTTCAGCAGCTCTGCCAGGCCTATAGTAGTCGATGACCTTGTCCAACATCTCGGAGATTTGAAGCCAAATCCCAAACGGGCTTGATCTCTTTTCTGGATCTTGAGGGAGCTGTCTCAAACTGTTGTCGCGATCGTGCATCAGCAAAGGTCTTCCGTTCATACAAGCGTTAATCTTATCCAGACTCCAGAGACACCAGAAGACATCCTCCAAATTGCCTTGGGATTCCGAACTTTGGTTTTTCCATTGATGTCCAAATTGGAGGCCAAAGGTATGCGCGTGATGGATGGCTTGTGCAAGGTGCATGGAAGCTTGCTCAGCGCCATCTGGACCTTCGCAATGAAGTGATATGAGAGCAAGCACTTGGATGAGCACGACGCGATTCTTCTCTAGCTTTGCTTCGATCCCAACAATGACGACATTGTAGAGCCTTTGAGAGAACTCGCGTGGATTGAGTGGCTGGGTCTCGTTACCCAAGTAAAGGTGCTTGGCGGCTGTTGCGTGTTTTGAAGCGACAATACAAATCGCTTGCATCAGAATTCGAGGTTCCCGACCATAGTTGTACTGCTCGTAGAACAGCTCCTTGTCCACAAGCGGGAGCAACGGATGGACGTAGCTGAAGTAGATCTCGAGAAGCGCAGTTTGGTTCATGCGAGAAGGGAGTATATCAACTCCGACCGCGTCTAGGTAGGTTAGGAGAGCCCTAGATACCTGAGCCTCCTGGTTGGAATGCGGACCTGTTTCTACAATCCGCGAAGCGCCTGAACCCACTTGCGACGATGTCTGTCTCTGATCTCTTTCTTCGATCCATTGTCCGATGGGAGGGTGACTGGGTGACTGGGCAGTCTTTCCACGCTCGGAGTGAACTTGCTCTCGCAGGACGGCTTCAGGATTGAGATAGCCCAAGAAGTTGGGTGGTGTTTGGACTGTGTGGTCCGAGGCCGGACTTTGCGGCGGCGGCATTGTGGATTGAGCATGGCCGTAGTCTCCACGCGCTCCCCTGGGATCATGATAATGACCGTTCGCAGCAGGGCCAGGACTGTCTGAGGATGTCGGATTGCTTCCGCCACCACTTTGGGGAACGCTGCCGCCACCGCCCGTGGCTCCCTCGTCGTCATCAAAAGTATGCGAGCACCTTTTCTAGTATAGCGTTAGAAGATATCCTTGATAGGTTTACGGTACTGCTGTAGCTTACTCTGCGCTTCTTGCATGATTCGCATGCGCGATGGACTCCTACGCGCAGCTGTTAGCTGCCTGCTGCTTGTTGTGTTGCGCACGGTCTATACGCACTTTTGCGCTTCCGGAAAAACTCGTTGTTCGCGGCAAATGTGATCATTGTCGACATGTCGGTGGCCTCTGAGCGCGCTTCGTTCGCGCAGGTCGTGTATCGCAGGTAAGAGACGCTTGCTCTCCGTAAGACAACGCGAGGTTGACGTTGCCAAGGTGGTGTTGCGCACACGTGATGACGGTTGCGCGCCTGCCGCCTCTCCGCATTTGCTGGCGTGCTGGCGCCTGTGGGTGGAGCCGAGGCGCTGGTTCATCCGCCAAAACCGTGAAACCGCAGGCATCACGAAACCTGCTCTACCGTTCGCATATTGCGGAGCAGCCCGGCTCGTCAATGTCGCTGACGCTAACCTGTACCCTGAAGCATACGCTGTGGTTTATCGTCAATATGCTAACAAGCAGAAGACGATGTAGCCCTCATCATGCGATTTCGCGGCGTACATCACAACGCACCTGGGCAGCAACAACGAGCGGAGCTCATCTCAATACGGTCTCGCACTGCGTCGCTCTCCGTCCAGCCCTCTCGTCCCGTCTCGCTCTATCACCAATACGGTTGCGCCTCCTCTCGTCGATAGTGCTGCTAATCAGACTCGCTCTAGTTAACTTGACGTATCCCCGCACCAAGTCACACGCACGAGTACGTCCGCCTCTCACCTTGTTCCAAGATTACATCCGAGAGTTCCCTCTCACCTCATTTGAATTGCAAAAGCTGTAGGCGGCGCGTTACAATGCGCCATCGCAGTATCTGTAGATGGCAACCGAGGCAGCCCTGGAGGGCGTCCCGCACCCGTTCTAATCTTAGGTACCTTTCTCGGGCCTTCATATACCATGCGCGGACCACGTACCTGGAGAAACCATGGTAATAGCATCTGAAAACCCTTACCGCACGCTTCATTAATATCAATCAGACAACATCGCAGGCCGCTAATTACCAGCGCGCGTTCCACGTAGTGCGAAATGGACATATGCACCAACAAACCAATTCGAGAACAGTACATCCGGGAGGGACTTACAGACGTTTCAAGGCTTGTCGAACTCGCATCATCGGAGCCTGGATACCTTCAATACAACCGAACGCATCCATATGCTCGGCGTAACCAGCATGTATCTGTCCGACGATGCTTTCATCAGATGGTCACCTCCAATCTGGTGTCATGTGTACGTCAAGTCGTTTTTTGCTCAGAGAGATTGCTCTGTCATTCAGCGTGACGGTATTGATCACAAACTCATCGGACTCCCAGCTATAAGTACATGGATGTAGAAGCTACTAATCCACCCGATTAATATCTAGTATGGTCGAGCCAGAAGCCGGTTTCCTGCGCCTTGCACGCGAGACTCGTCAGATGATTTACGATCACATCGTCAGCGACACCCCAGATCGGACTATCAGAGTGACACTGGTCAAGTCGACGCTGAATTCGAATGACAAGCTTCAGAAGGACAAGGCCCAGAAGGACAAGCCCCCGAAAGACAAGCTTCATGTCGAGAGTTGGGAAACTATCCTAAATCTTATTTGCACGCATTGGACCTTCGAAAACGAAGTACTCTCCTACCTGTACCAAAGCTTTACATTCGTATTGACGGACAGCGAACGTACCTGTCGCCCCATTGTTGCAGCTTTCTCTCGAGCCCTGACGCGTAAGAACAGAGTCCGTGTACGAAAGATTGCCATTCCTTTCTTTACCATTCGTAACCTTTTCGACCCCGCCCATTTCACTGATTCGTCTGTGCTTCAACGTTCGCAGGAACACCGTTCTAACATCATTGATAATACCCATCTCCACCCATACGTACTCAAAATCCTGGTTCCAAGCGATGATACACGGCTTCAGAAAGAACAAGCCAAGTTCCTCGAAGAACTCGTTTATGCGCTCCTCCTATTGAACCAAATGCCGGGTTTGGAGTGCCTCACACTCGGCGTCGACGTCCTTGAGTTCCTAACCGAAAGTATCCTCCGGACCGAAGGTATCTACCGGGGCGAGCCATCGGTGCCGACATCCGATCTTACTGTTCTCATTGATCAAGTCAGGCAAGGCAAACTGCATCGCTGGCATCGTTTGATCGATGTTCTGGGTGGAATCAGAGGCCTAGGTAAACTGCGCCACGTTCGACTGGAACTAGACTGGAGTAACTTCGTGCAGGACAAATATCAAAGAGCTGGTGTGACATTTGGACCACCATGGACGAAGGATGTCAAGGAAGAGATGGAGCTACGATTCAGCAAAATGGTCACTGCATGTATCACGAGCATGGTTGCGAGGACGGAGTATAAACGGCAGGAGGTATTGGATTTCCCCGGCATTAACGTTGTCTCGAAGATTGTCCAATGAGCTCTCGTACATCAACAATACACTGGGCGACCCGCATCACATGTATCTGTGGGGACGTCTCCCTCTATCTCAGTTCCAACCCTCCTCCCTCAACTTCTCCCTAACATTCATCAACGCCCTCCCCAGAAGATTCTGTCCCCACCGATACCGATTCCTCTCTGCATCCTTCTCCGCAAAGCCCACGCCCCAAATCCTATCATACGGACTCGCCTCCACCAATTCCCTCTCTCCAGTAGCCAACAACATGCCTCTCAGGTTCTCCGCGTCCTCGCTAACCGTAAATTTATGGTAATTGCCCTGCCTCACAATCTCCAGCTTTTCTGTCACCCAGTCAGCATCCTCTTCTAGAAGTACCGCGAAGAACGTGGAGTACATACGCTCATCCCAAACCTTCTCATCAAACCCCTTGACCTCTCGTCCCAGATCTTTATGCTCTTTCGGACTCGTAGTCTCCAGCATTTGTTTCGCGATCTTTTCATCGCCGAAACAGCGCGCTTTGTGCACCATCATCCACATCTCGGCGGTTACATAGGTTTCGTCGTTGATGGTGAACCTCGACCAGTACCATTGGCAGAGGTAGCCGTGGCCGTCGCGCGGCTTCCAGAAGAAGACTGGTTTGGCGGAAGGTGTGGATGGGGTAGAGGATGATTCGGACGGGTGTGCAATCGTTTTTGCTGACATATTTGATTTGTGGCGATGGTATTGGGGTAAAGGAGGAGCAGCGATGCTACGGTGAATCGTGGAACTGTTGGGCGAACTGAGGTGGATTGGGTAAGATGCTGTGTGTTGATGAGTTGAGAAACCGCAGGTGTTGGAACAGGCGCATTGTCTAAAGTACACGGATGTAGCGTTTCTAAATATCACTTCCTTTGGGGATGTACCTCAAGCATAGTATGGTCTTCCTAGGTACCATTGATGTATTGGGTGCTAAGCGAGATGTTGTACCATGGCTCGATGACAGTTGCGCCCTTTTGCTCCGCCCTTGTTACTGCGAGTTGCAATCTACAAATTATAACTTAGTACGATACTCATACCATTTTCTTTAGATTCCTTGGATGGGAACGTAGAATGACTAGGTCGCTCTGGCGGAGTCGCGCCGAGCTGGCTGCCTGACGAGGTAGACCCACATGCATGTAGTGTAACGAGGCTGTGTTGTGCCTTCCCGAGGTCCTGAGCTGCACCCCAACTCCTCAGCACTGAAGTCTCTTTGTCTCATTCTCTCTACGCTATTTTGCTCTCTGTAACCATCACATCATCTGCTTGTCCTCCTCTACATGTCTGTATGCGGCATTTGAAAGCTACACTTGTCCACCCGCGAAGATGGTCGAAGCTGCTGGAGAAAGATCCAGAGTTGTCAGCCTTATCGCATCTCCGAATCCTTCGAAAAGAAGACAGCTTTCACCAGAGCTATCTGCCGTTACAAAGGAGGAGCTATCACCAGCAACGGAAGAGCGACCTACGACCGCACATGGCAACGCCGAAAGAAGTCGATCTTCGCATGACTCAACAGGGTCCCTTGCGACTGGATTGGAAGTTTCTCCCGATTCAATATGTTCAGTGTGCCTCAACCTCGGAAATGAGGTCTGGGATTCTGGATATCGCAAAAGGCACAGTCTTGGAGAATATGAAGAACACTACATGCCGGCAGGAGAAGCTGCTATTGCCGCAAAGAAAGGTTGCCCGGGCTGCGAGATTATCGCTTGGGCACTCGAACCCTACATGGAACGAGTTCAAGACGGTGAACTTCACATTCATGTTCATTTTGACAATGCTGCATTGTTGGTTTCGGGCTATCTGCACTACTACAGCTGTGTGCCATCTAAGAAGAAATACAATATGTTGATTGACCTCAAGAGCGCACCTTTCGAAGGCATCGAGAGCGCCCCTCATCAATCAAACAGTAAGTATGATGCTGAACCCGTTTCAGAACCGACGCTACAGTTGTGCTGAAGCAATCAGATATTCCATGTCCATGGCGTTTCATCGAGCCAATCTCTATCGTCACTGGCCATACGGGTTCCTCAGCTGCTCTCAGAAAAGTGCAGAAGTGGTATCTCAAATGCCTATTAAATCACAAACGATGTAATCTGAACTCACGCTCGCGACTACCAACGAGGTTAATACAAATCCAAGGACCTACGAAAGTCAGGCTATATACCGGGGGTTTTGCTGATGCAGAGTACGCCTGTTTGAGCCATTGCTGGGGACGACAGCCTTTGATACAGACTACTACAGCAACTCTCAAGCAATATACTAACGACATTCCCTGGGGAGAATTGCCCAAGACATTTCAAGATGCTATCCAATTTGCACACGGTATCGGGTTCAGATATCTGTGGATTGACTCGCTGTGTGAGTTTTTCCTGTTGTTTTGTGCTGAGAAGTCTATCACAACTCATTAATTGTGACTCAGGTATCATTCAAGACTCTATCGATGATTGGCGCCACGAAGGAAGTCGAATGTCGCGCATTTTTGCAAACGCATCCTTGACGTTGGCAGCTACGTGGTCAGCCAACCCTCGTCAAGGTTGTTTTGCGACGCTCGATGAGCGATATACATCGCGTACAAAGACGTTTAAGAACGGCGACCGTAATACATATCAACTTTACTGTCGCAATGTGCTGCCCGAAGGGGAGGCTCCGCTCTTAGACCGAGGTTGGGTCTTTCAAGAGCGGATCTTGTCTAGAAGAATTGTTCACTTCATGGCGGCGGAGCTATGGTGGGAATGTCGGGAGTGTTTCGATTGCGAATGTGGTAGTCTTCAACACAGCAATTCCCATATGAACCAAAAATGCGCGTTCGACATACAAATGTTCTCATTGCCCAAGAGTATCGAATGCTCGTACTGCGATGACGAAGAGCGACGAGCCAGTCACGACTCCTACGATACTACGTCATTATCACACGCGATAAGGTGTTCCTCCAATAAGGCACGTCGCAAACTTCAGATCCAGGCGATCGAACAGAGATGGGAGGAGTTGGTGACCACATACTCGTCAAAGTCGCTCACATACCAAGACGACATCTTCCCTGCGATACAAGCACTGGCTAAGCTCGTTCCCCCAGAGATGGGTAGATATCTAGCAGGGCATTGGGAAAGCTTTATGATCTCGAGCCTCGGCTGGCTCGCTCGCGCGCCAGCCCAAAATAGGACTATGAAATGGCGCGCTCCGTCCTGGTCATGGGCTGCCACCCACGGGGAAGTGTACTGGCCCATTAAAATCGATTTTCCATTGGAGGCATCTGCTACTCTTCTCAGCGCCCTTACAGTGCCTATAGGCGATGATCCTATGGGTCAAATATCCCATGGGTTCATCGTCTTACGGGGAAAACTCGTGGCCGGGGAGATACAATCACCAAGCCGTGCTTCCGACTACGGCCTCATGCTAGAAGGGAAACCTTTTGACAAAATCGATCACTACACAGTCTATTGGGACAGGATCTGTCGTCGCGAGGTCGGTAAGGGAGTCTTCGCGCTCCGGCTTTTCGAATTTAGGAACTCATCCCATGTATACCAATTTTGGCTCATCCTGGAGGCCGTGGAAAGTAGCGAACGTCAATATGAGCGGATTGGCTTGCTTATTACAGATAGTTCCTTCTCTGGGCGATACTCAAGCGTAGAGATCGAGATGCAGGTGAAAATAATTTGAACGCGTTGCGGCAAACTGGCAAGGATCACCACTGTTCTTTCAGGACCTCATGGTATACTGGAAGAGGGCTTCAACAGACTTGGATACCGGTTTGATGATACCCACACTTGCTCATGTACCCATCTTGATAGATATTAAGCTTCCTTACTGTCACATACGTGACAAGAGATCCAACCCCTCACATCTTCCCAGAACACTTTGTACGAGTATAATCTCTGGAGCTTCACACATTGACTTCCGACTAGATGTCTGTGTAGGATACGCGCACTAGCGGTCTTGCAACCTAACAACGCAAGTTCTGAGTTTTGAGGATTTGAAGAGGCGCTTGTGGAAGGTAGAATGGAACATTTCCTCCAAGATTCTTCTAAAGTAGAAGCTCATAGTATGCACCTCCATCTTGCGCGTCGTCACCAGAGCACGAATCAACTGCTCGAATGAGATATCTTCCGCGCTTTACACATTCCCTTCCCATACTGCTCTTGCGCATCACCCTCCCTCAGCTCTCCCCCCTCGTCTCCTTCTCCACAACAACCGCATCCTTCTTCTGCGGCCTCTCCCCAAAAATCTGACTCCCCACCCTAACCTCATCACTCCCCATTTTGATCGCCCCCTCAAAGTCCGCACTCATCCCCATACTCAACTCCAACTGTCCCTCTTCCCACCCCAACTCCTTAACCACCTGATCCCTAACCTCCTTCAGCTTAACAAAATCCTCGTTTTCGGTCTCGGGCGTCGTGGCTTGACTGCGCGCAATGGCGCCGATGGTCATGAGGCCGTGGAGGAGGAGATGCGGACATTTTTCTATGATGTGCCGGCATAGTGCGAGTGTGTCGGAGGGTTCGACGCCGGATTTGTTTTCTTCGCCGGAGGTGTTGACCTGGACTTTCACGCGCAGTTTCTCTTCCACTTTATCATCTGATTCTTTCTCAACCAACGCCCTCCTCCCCTTCTCTAGCTCATTCGCCTTCTTCTCACTGTCCACACTACTCACACACCACAGATTCGGCACTTGTTCAGCCAGCTGCTTGCACTTGTTCGATTGCAGACCGCCGATCATGTGCCATTTTATGGAGCGGGGCAGGATCTTGTGCTTCTCGAGGAGTTCTTGGACGTAGTTTTCGCCGAAGTGCGTTTGTAGCGGTGATTGCGAGGAGGATGGGGAGGAGGTGGACGGCTTGTGCAGCGCGAGGATGTCGTTTGCGGGTTTGAGTTTGGAAACGGCGATGAGGCGGACCTGGAGTGTCGCGTGTTAGCAGGCGGGCTTTGGGGGGATTGGAGAGATGGGTGGGCGTTACTTCTTTGCTGCCTTGGCGGGCGGCGTTGATGCGCGAGGTTATGCTCGCGATGTTCTCGGTGAGCTGCTTCGCGCGTTGGGGGTTTATGTGCATGTCTTCGGCCATGGTTGATGCAGGGCTATGATGGTGTTCGCGTGTTCAGCCCTGCGACTCGCTTGGATGAAGACGTCAGATCGGTGTTACTGCAAAGTGCCGTGTTATCTCCGTTGCATGCACGAGTCATCACTTTTGCAGGCAAGTATAGGTAAACCAAAGGCTTGACGATCGATTAACGTACTTCTAGGCGACGATGCAAAGATAGAATTGATGCTAAGGAGCCGCTAGGACAGGCTGCGAAGTCTGCCAGGACTCGCTGACCCGCTGCAACCATTTCTCGCTCCCACCAAAGGCAGGGTCCACCAACAAGTCGTGATCGGTACCTGGGAGCACTTCATTTTTGTAATCATAGCTTTGGCTTGGTACCCAGATCGCGTTGAACCAATCCCGGCCTTTATCGCCGACCAGTTGGTCTTGTTCTGCGTGCATGCAGTCGATGTCCCAGACCCGTCTGTTTCCTGCCAGTCGATCATCTTCGCCAATGGTCTTGGACAGCAGCTGTACTGCGTCGTCGAGATCTTCCCATTCGACTATGGGGGTACTCCATGGAACAGAGCGTCTCAAGAACATCTGTGTGTCCATTGAGACGCCGTCCACAGACTCTGCGAAAACGAACTTGGTAATGTGGTTTCGCAGGTCATCCACGACTTTTGGATCGTCAAGTGCGACATCGTAGAGAGTGTCGTGGGGGCTACCATTTGGCTCTCTAGGCTCAGTTGTTTCGGACGCTGCAAGAGCGACTGGGCCTGCAGTAGGGCTTGAGCGCGACAATGAAGTGGATATTCCTTGAACGAGGGTGCCGCTCAAGCCAACCAGCGGAACGACATTCTGATTGATGAATCTGGCGACGGGGCCCATTTTCCCTATTAGAGACGCGGGAAGAAGCCCAGTAGCCTGTAGATGCGTCATCTTCGTGTGGGAGTAGTGTACCCATGGAGCGAAGAAACAGACGTATGGATGACTGGGATTCAGCAGGTGTGGATAGGCGAGGATAAGGTTCACGAGGTAGATGTCACCCCCACTGTGACTAGCAACCGAGACATGCTCGATATTCAAATGCGCCAGGAGTTGGGGAACCATTTCTACGTGGATGAGTTAGCCGCCTTAATGGAAGAACATGTTTACCAACCGAGCCAGGTCTGAATCCGCTTTTCAGGCGTCACAGCATCACTCCCACCAACACCGGGACGGTCCGGATGGATGATTCGGACATGATGCTTCTTTGCTAATTGATCTAAAGGGGAGTAAGACAGGCGCTGCCCAAACATAGCTCCACAGAACAAGACGACTGCGTTGCTGTCGGCGTCGCCAAAGTCGGAGTAAGACACATGATAGGGTTTGGATCGGTCGGCATCTGGGTTGGCGGGAAGCACAAAACTGCGGTGGAACCTTCGATCGCAGATGAATTCAAGCGCGCCCATGGTTGGGGATAAGAAGAGCTTGTTTGTAGGGATTGTTGAGGTGAGTACGTTCGATCCTTCCAATGTACCTCCAGCCCATCAGCTGCCAAGCATGGGTATGTTAGGCAACCAGACACGCGGCAGGAGGCTGCAGGTGCTATTGGATGTCAAGGGACAAATCCCACTTCTGCGTACGTCCTGTAATCGCAATCCACACCAGAGGTGCCGCGATTTGGTGTAACATGTTGAGACATAGCCTATAATCTTTTGATTGTTGAAGACGGTAGGTGAGGAATTCAATCGCTCGGGCACAGGACTGAAGCTTCGTCATGCGGAAGGATGAGGTGAAAACACCAATTCTCAGAGAAAACGAATGTCGAAAAGCGAGTCGAGTGTATTCTGCAGATGCCAGAGATTCAGCTGCGATGGAATCTGGCGACGTCGAAGGCTCGCTGCAGCACGAAGAAGGGCATCCCCGGAGCAAGCCTCATCACATCCGGCTCGTCGCCCCACATGGCAAGTAACGTGCCGCAGAACCGCCTGCGCGTCTTGCCCTCCACACCCCATCAAAGACCAACCCCAGATTTGATCTAGTAAACAAGACACAATGCACTCAAGTGTCTACTTAGAGCATAGAGACGCCCGGCTAAGGCACCTAGTACCTGCAGGAGGTGCCGGAGTAATACTTCAGACAGATTGCTTTATATGGCCAAGCCCCCGTTTAACCCCGGATACACCCATGACGCCAGTGATGATTAATATCAGGGCGAACTTCTAGAAATGAAGGTGCATGCGGTTTGGAGGGGCGCTCTTGGATTGCAATGTATAAAGATGTGGGTGCTGTAGGTTGGACAGTTGCTGGCGCGGTTGCTCTTTCCCACTCCAGTACTTCTTAGCCTACTTCACCATGAAGTATCTTCCAGTCGCTCTCGCCGCTGCTGCACGAACTGTGCTTGCGCACCCAGGCTCTCCACATCCAGATGCGCAAGGAAGGTACACGATTGAGGCCGAGGGAATCAGGGCGCAATTCATTCCCTATGCTGCTACACTCACCAACCTTTTCGTCAAAGGTAGAATGCACTTATCATGCTAGATGGTATCTACTAATAAAACCCAGACCCGGCAGGCCAGGAGCTAGACATCGTCCTAGGTTATGACAACACGTCCTACTACCGTAAGCTGCTGTCGCGCATTCATCGCACACCGGCTAACAATCTCCAGCCGTCGACCCGGGACATCCCGTCTACAATGCCATCCCAGGCCGATATGTCAACCGCATTGGCAACGGCGAATACTCCATTGACAACGTCACGTACCACACTGAGAAGAACGATGGCCCAAACACCCTCCACAGCGGTACAAACAACTGGTCTTTCAGAATGTGGAACGTCAGCGCCGTGACCAATTCGTCCATCACCTTCTCCATCAGCGATGCTTCCAACTCCTCGCTGGGTATGATTGGCCGTGTGGATGCGAGCGTCACGTACTCGGTCTCGAAGAACAAGTGGCACATCTCCATGGATGCCACATCCCCCGAGGCCAAGACGCCGCTCATGCTGACGCAGCATACTTACTTCCAGCTCGATGCCTTCAAACGCCCCGACAACCGCACTGTCTGGAACCACACTGTGTACATGCCCGAGGCCAAGCGTGCGCTCGTCGCCGATGCAAACGCTCTTCCCACCGGCGAGATTGCGCAAATCCCCGCCGGAGCCATTGATGATTGTGAGTAATCTCTCTATGAACCTGATATGGGTTGATATTGATTTGATTAGTCTGGTCCGCACCGCATGAACTTGGGTTTGCATCAGGCAACGAAGAATTCGAGAACCACTGCGGAAACGGATGCCACGGCTACAACGGCGCCTGGGCATTCAACGAGGCCAGGAACAAGAGCGCAGCTGTGCTCACGCTATCGAGCGCATACAGTGGCATCGAGGCCAAGTTGACGACGAACCAAGACGCCGTTGTCCTCTACACGTGCAATTGGAACGACGGAAAGAGCGAGTTCAAGAGCACGCAGGGTGTTGTTGGCCAAGACAAATTCATCCCGCGCGACGGGTGCATCGCTATTGAGGCCCAAGACTACGTTGATGGCATCAACCAGTAAGTCGATGATGACGTCGTTTCAGGCACAAGCTAATATTGTTGAACAGTCCGGAGTGGGGTCGGCTGGACAAGCAGATCTCGGGCCCTGGAGACAAATACCACTGGGAGTCGTCGTGGGAATTTGGAACGATCTGACATGAGGCGGTAGCGGCCTCTGAAGGGGCGCGAGGGTGGTGAGGCTAGCAGTGGACACGGCGTAGGACGGGAGGTAGTAAGCAACATGTTATGCAACCCCATTGACCAAGTGTCAATGTCTGGAGCCCCGCATTTGGGCGGGGTGCAGTGCTCGCGTGTCGCCCAACGTCTGCTTGGTAGCGAACAGCACAGTGTTTGAGGGCGAATTTCGAGTGTTTGTTGACAACGAAGTGGTGATGTTGGTGGTCGGCGACTGCGGGCGGGAATAGCAGACTGGGACAAGGCCCAAGGTTGGTTCCTGGTATTGGTATCGTGGCGGCGCGGGCTAAGCGGCACAAGCTCCAGGACCTAGCTGCTGCATGCCATGGCTGCATATAGGCCCAGATGTCGCCAGCACGCAGCCTGTTTGCTCTCCCATCGTGCACCCTCGTCACTACTCGACTCTGTGAATGATGGTGAAGGCATGCTGAGCTGACATGATCGACGGCTGCTCCTGACGCCTGATTGCCTTTTCCATCGCCCCGCCCATTCGGCCCTAAGCTTCCTACATACGCAACATTCATTTGCGATCGACAGTCCGCTGCGTAGCTGCCAAGCAACGACATCATCCAGGAATCGTCGACTCCAGGGCGCCATCACTCCAGGGTTGCTCGTCGACACCCACTCCCCACTGCACTTGCCTCTGCCTGCCTCGCCCATGCGCCCCTTTTGTCGATCGCGACTACTCTGTCTATCTAATCGCATCTCGTGAGGCGCGTTGGAAAGGGCCACCCACGGCCAGTCCCCAGCATCGATGTCCTTGTGACACCGGCTATCTTGCACCGGACACGCCCACCACCTCTCCCTCGCTAGCCGTCGCGATAACGACCTGATCCCTGCCCGCACAGACTGCGTCACTGGCACTTGGGCATCCACGGCCCGCCCTCCTGCGAGCCCGGCGCGATCCGCTTTCACCATCGATAATCCAATTCCTCCATCCATCCTTCCACCCGCACCATGGGCAACTCGCAGGGCAAAGAGGCCACGCCGGAGCGGAGAGGCCACGCCCGCCGCTCAAGCGCCCACCAGCCCACGTCGCCCTCGACTGCCGGGCCCGCCGCATCCACACACGACAGGCCGGGGAACAGTCCCTATGGCAACTCGCGGAGAGACAGAGGCAGCAGACCGGACCTATCTTTCCTCGGCATCCGCACCGGCGACAATGCCGAACGCGACCCCGCCCTCGAACCGCGCCGGGAGACAAAGGCGGAGCGCGAGGCCCGCAAGCTGGAGAAGGACCGCATCCTGAGGGCCCAGGAGCGCGAGAGGAGTTTGAAGGAGGAAGGCGTTGACGGAGGATACCTGGTCACACTCGGGGTATACACG